GCCCGACTTTTTTCTTTTTGCTTCTCAGGATTTTCATTTGTCCTACATTCAGGATATTACTATAGAGTAATAATGTTGAGGGAAACAGAAAACTCAATGCAAGCCAACAAATATATCTCCCTAAGTTGTTCTCTGTAGCTAGGTACTCTTCTTATACCACTAAGATCTGCATTTCAGCAGTGGATAAACTGGGGGGTCACCAATGGTGACATTCTCATCTGCTTCCATTTGGTTAAAGACAAGGAGATGAGAGGGAGTATCACCAGGTACTTCTGGGTCAGCTCTACCACATTATTGTACAAGGTTACTATCTTCCCAGACATTACAAATAATCCACTTTGGATAAATTTTGAAATGAAATATTAGTTCTTTCTTGGAAGACCTAACAGGGTAATAGTGCTCCGTGGTCCATCAAGAAGGAGAAAGGAGATCAGGAATCCAAGGGAGTCCCAACATGAATATGCAGCCCAGATTCTAAGTACCAGGCTGATCTGGAACTAGCTATTTAGTCCCTGGCCCCCAAGGGGTTTATAGTCACATTAAGAAGGCAAGGTGGAAAGATAAGGTGAGCCGAAGATTGTGTGGGTTACGTAATGCAGGATGGGAGGTGGGGCACGAAACAGTTCTGACTCAAGGGAAGGCTATGGGTGAAGCTGATCATCAGCCTCCCATTCTGGCTTTTTTTTTTTTTTTAAGTTTGGTTGATTGATTTTAGAGAGGCCGGGGGGGGGGGGGGGCAGAGGGAGAGGGACAGAGGGACTCTCAAGCAGGCTCCTCCTGAGCACGGAGCCGGACTCGGGGCTGGGGGCTGGATCTCATGACCCAGAGATCATGATCAGAGCCAGAATCAAGAGTCAGACACTTAACTGACTGAGTCACCCAGGTGCCCCATTCATGCTTTATTTATTTATTTATTTTGCACTGGTTTCCCCCTTCTCCAGCCTGCAGCATCTAGGAGAACATGGAAAAATCAACCTCCTTGAGATGGCTTCCATATTTATAAGATAGGGATACTAATAAGCCCTATCTTATTGGTTTATTGCGAGGATTAAAGTAGGTACTGCACCTAAATGCTTAGCCCAGGGCCTGGTGGTCAATACAGCATGTCTATGATGATGATGAAGAATACTGCCAACAGCACAAGTAAACCAACATGGAAACGACAGAAAGTTTGGAATCTTACAAAGTACTTAAAATCAACCATGGTTCCTGGCCTTCCAGATTTGTTCCCTTCTATAGGCAGCATCTGGTCCCTCAAACTTTCACCCTCTGACTTTAGCCAGAGCGTGAGGCACATGGAAAACCTTCTCTCATCCTCACTCCCAGTCTGTTCCTAAAGGTATAATATTCATGCACACCCTCCGGCTCAGATGTGAACTCTGCATCTCACACGACCCCTCAAGACCCTGTGAGTCCATTTCACAGTCCTTTGCCTCTTAGGACCCACCTCTTTGGAACATTTTCTCACATTTTACAAAATGCAGGGCGTAAAAGTGGAAGGGAAGATTCCAGAGAATGCTGATGCGGAAGAGCAAACGGAGGCTCGAAGGAAGGCAAGAGAAGGATCTGTATCCTGTGGTTGCTATTCTGTTTATGTGCCCAGTTTCCCCACCTTCTTCATTCCGTGAGCAACTGCTAAGTTCTTTTCCTGTGTGAGCCATTCCAAATCCCTCTTTTTGCTTCTATTAGCCAAAATCACCTTCTGTTGCTTGCAACTCAGTAGCCCTTCCTGGTTTATAAATAAAGGGGGTAAAAAGGCAGAGAGGCGTGAGAAGAAAATAAGGTCCAAAGAGGAACAGAGTAGATGGAGAGAAGTAGCTGGATCTTAGTACTGTGTCTGATTTCTGAAGGATTCCAGCCCTAGTCCGTGCATAATCCTCCCTGATGCTCTCAAAGGAGAATCATGGTACTTCTAGAAAAAAGAGAGGGGTGAGGGATGATGAGCAGGCATGTCCGCTGTCTCACTCCTGAAAAACTCTATCCAAATCACGGTCACTACTCTGGTTGGAAAATTGAAGAGGCAAATCTGCCTGGCTCTGATGGGCTGGAATACCCAGGCATTTCACAGCTTATGAATTCAAAGATAAAAATAATTTTTAAATTGAGCCAAGTAGAGAATGAGGAGAAATAACTACACTCATTTTTTTTTTTTGCAAGAAAAGATTTCTTGTCAGAGTGGATTAATCCACATTTAACCTTGTAACTCTAACAGTGAAGTGCAGAAATAACAGGTTCAAATGTGAAAAACTGTCGAAGGTCTATCTTAGAGCTCTTTCCAACATATTTGTTTTGACATTATTATTAAAAACGTGAGAAGAATTAATTAAATTGTAATCAAACACACGGAGATGACATAATGCCAACAGAGTGGTTCATGCCTTGAATAATGGAACCCCAGGGGGTTTTCCTAGTTAATCCTAACTCCCCGTTTTACAGCTGAGAAAACCAAGGCTCATAAAGGTCAACCCTTGCCCAAGGTACACCTAGAATCAAGGATCAGGCTGCCAGGATTCAACCTTTCTACGTTTTCTTTTTGAATAACTGAAAGCTGCGTTGTGATTCAAGATTCAAGTAGACGTTTGTTAAAAACTGGAGCAGTGAGCTGATAAGACAAGATAAAATTTAATCAGGTCAGATGTGTAAGGACCTACATGTTGGGTCCAAAAAAGCCCACTGTACCAGCACAGTATGGGGTAAAATATGCCTCAATCAGCAGCAGTTGTAAGAGATTTAGAGATGGAACTTGGCTATGAGCTTGAGATGTCAGCAGCTTGATGTAGCTACAAGAAAAATATAATGGAGTTGGGGGTGGCACTGCTGGAGGCCGAGTTTACAGAAGGGAGCTGAGCATCCCGGTGAACTTCTCAACCTACACCTGGAAGTCCTCATTGGGTCCCAGGTGTCAGGTTTTAGCAGTAATACAGATGTGTTAGTTCACACCTGGAAGAGCAGCCTAGCATGGAATGCTGTTAGGAATGATCAAAGGAAGAGAGGGAATTGTAAAGCACTGTCATTAAGAGCTTGAATCCTGGAGTCGGGTTAACCCCAGCCCTGTTGACTACTGATTATGTGTTCATTAAGCCCTAATCTCACTGTCTGTAAATTAGGAATTATAAATGAGTAACCTATCTCCAAAGAGTAAGGAGGTAGTGCATGTATGCACCTTATTGGCACCAACCACTCAATAAATGTTAGCTGCTATTTGAATTAAGGAAGAAGGGAAGTGATGTGGGGATAATGGTAGCAAACTCATGGGCTGTGGTTGATTTTAAGTGAGTTAACCTGGGGAGGGCTTGAAACAAAGTTGGCAGTTATGATCTGTGCTAGAAGGATTGGCCTAAGGTTTCTAGGATGGGCCTGGTTAATATTCCCTGGCTTGGGCTAAGGTCCACAGAGCCTGATCAGGTTATTACCTGAAGAATGTTTAGTTTGTGGGGGGAGACGGTAGAGGGGGTGGTGGTCATTCAGACATTCTGTGGGGGTAGCACTTGGTGAACACCTGGGCACAGGGATTTGGCATTGCTGTGGGGTGACAACTTAGCTAGCTGCGTTCTTGGGCGCTGTGACTTAGGTTTGCTCTGATCCACTAGTGTGGGTCACTCAGGGCAGCACTGGGGTAGGTCACACATGCCTGGTCTGGGCATGGTCACTGTGAGCTATTACTTGGGAGTCATTCAAAGTGGAATTGCTCCTGGATCAGTCCTCCCCTCTTTCTCCTCCTCCTCGTGCCCCTGGGTGAAGTCTGCATCATCCTGGACCTTAGGGACACTGTGGGACCCCGAAACAGCTCCCTGGGGAGCAGTCCGCCGCTAGGGGGCGGCCGTTGAGAGGGACCGCCCCCCCTCTCCCCCGCCGAGTCCGCGCCTTTGGGGCTCACTCTTCCGCCACGTCCCGGGAACGGTGGGGTGACAGTGGGGTGGGAGCGCATGCTTCATGGGTGTGAGACAGAGCGAGCCGCCTGGGTATGAGTCAGCGCGCGGGGGGCTAGAGAGCTCCGTGAATAGTCACGGAATCTCACGCTCGGCTCCTCCACCCATCCCCGTCTAGAGCGTGTGTCCCAGTCCCGCGCGTGTGTGCGCACACGGCACGATGTCCGATTCCAGGCTGTGTGTGTGTCTGGTGAGATGGGGATGAGGGGGACAGGGGAGGGTTCCTGTCGGTGTTTCCACGCCCATGTGGGGTGAGGGGGTGTGTCCTGGTCAGGGTACGTGTGTACCTGTGTGTGTGCTTGCGTGTGTGTGTGTCAGTGTGGCGGGACCGTGTATCAGCGTAGAGTGCTTGCGTCTGCGCCCGGGTCTGGATGTTGGCGCAACCCGGACCGGGGTTCCCAGCCCTGAGGGTGGTGGGGGCGTCCAGCCCCCCTGGAGGAGTAAATGCCTCGCCATCCCAAGCCGGCCGGGGCTCCTCAGGAAGCGGCCGGCGCGGGGAGGGTCCGGGGTAGCGCGTCCCTGGGAGGGGCAGGAGAGTGGGGGCGCAGGGGGCGGGCCAGGTCCCAGGGCGGGGCGCGGGCTCGGGGGACCCGCGCGGCTGACGTCAGGCGACTCCTTAAATAGAGCCGGCAGCGCGCGCGGCTCGGCATTTCTTGAGGAGATCGAGCGGGGCCCGCGCCAGCGCCACCGTCCGGTCCGCCCGCCAGCCCGAGGGGCCGCGCCGCCGCCGAGCGTTCGGGGCGCCGCGCTCCAAGGACCGGGAATGGAGCTTCGGGCGCTGGGCGCACTCCGAAGCCGGCGCATGTGAGACCCGAGGAGCGCCGCCCGGGGCCCGGGACGGGGAAATGTGGGACGCGCAGCAGCCTGTGCCCCGAGAAGCCGCCGCTCCCGGGATCCCCGGGCATGGTGCGCGCCCCGGCCCGCAGCGCCCGGGGAAGACGGCGCCCCCCACGCCCGACCCGCGGGGCCGGGGCAGCGCCGCGCCAGCCCTCTAGGCGGCCGCAGGGCCACAGCAGCTCCGCCGCCGGCGCCCCCCGGAAACCATGACCCCCGGCGCGGGCCCATGGAGCCATGGCCTATAGGGTCCTGGGCCGCGCGGGGCCAGCTCAGCCGCGGAGGGCGCGCAGGCTGCTCTTCGCCTTCACGCTCTCGCTCTCCTGCACTTACCTGTGCTACAGCCTCCTGTGCTGCTGCGACGACCTGGGCCAGAGCCGCCTCCTCGGCGCGCCTCGGTGCCTCCGCGGCCACGGCGCGGGCGGCCAGAAACTTCTTCCGAAGTCCCGCCCCTGCGATCCCCCGGGGCCCACGCCCAGCGCGCCGGGCGCTCCCAGCGCGGCCACAGCCGCCGCCGCCGCGCCCGCCCCTCGCCTCCCGGCTGCCAACCACTCGGGCTCGGCCAAGATGGGCACCAAGAGGCTGCCCCAAGCCCTCATCGTGGGCGTGAAGAAGGGGGGCACGCGGGCCGTGCTGGAGTTCATCCGCGTGCACCCGGACGTGCGAGCCTTGGGCACCGAGCCCCACTTCTTCGACAGGAACTACGGTCGCGGGCTGGACTGGTACAGGTAAAAGGGAGCGCCCCACTCCGCGCGCCGGGTTCCCTGTCGGGTCCATCCTTAGGGCCTTCTCCTGCGTCTTCTCTCTCCCTTAATCCGGCTCGTTGTGTGGGTTCAGGCTGACACAGGGGGGCACTCCAGCAGGATTTACCCAGAACTTCCCAGGGATGGTGTAGACCACACGCTTCCTCGAACGGCAAAGGGCAGTTGTTTCTGGAGGCGCCGGAAGGGAAGGGGGGTCTCTAGCCAACCTCAGGGCGAGCTGGTGGGCTGCCAGCTTGTCCAGCCTCTGGGGTGGAGCAGGGTGCCCGGGGAAGGGGGCCCTCTCCTGACCTTCGCTGATCTTTCCAGACATCTGAAGGACCTTGAGCAGGAAAGGTCCGAACAGGGCCCCCTTGCGGCGGGGCTCGGCGCTGGCCCAAGAGAGGCGTGGGGATGAGGAAGGTCCCTTCTGGAGGGTCATTCCCAGCCCCACCCAGGTCTTTGCTGCTGTGCCTCAGCTGAGAGCCCCCAGTCGCTCTGACCCTGAGTTAGTGGTCTTGGGCAGTGGAAAGGAACCCTGGATTTGAGTCATGCTGTCACTTAGCTTGAGCAAATACTTGAAACTCTTCGAGCCTCGATTTTCTCATCCATCACAATGGGCAGGAAAATCGTCCCTTCCCTCATCTGCTTTCCGAGGTCTTTCTAAAGTGCCTTCAAGGTGTAAAAAAGACATCTGCCGTGGGTGGTGCTTCCAAACCGGCAGCCAGGATGTGGAATTTGGGATACGGTGGGCACCTCAGATAAGGGTTGGCTGGATCCTAGGGACAGCCAGACTGTCCACTCCTCCGTTGCCCTTCCAGGGATGACAGTCACCCAGGCTGGTGGTGTCTGGGGATAGCCTGAAGCTTCTGGAAGGTGACCACCTCTCCTGTTCAGGGCCCATCTGCCTCCCAACCCCTGTATGGTTCTGTGGTGTAGGACTGGCCCAAATGTGGGCTGAGTCAGGGCGTCCCCCAGGGTGGTGTTGAACACGTGGGTCACAGAATTCCCATCATTCACCTGACTCCTTGAAGACCTTCTAGAAATGTCTCCATAGCCATAGAGCTGGGGAGGAGTAACATGGTAGCTGACTAGAGTAACAGTAACTAGAGCTAATTTTTAAAAATGTTTATAAAAATAAACCCTTTAGAGAGTAGAAGTCATAAGTATATTGGACAAATGAAAACTTCATTAGAAGGGGGACCCCACTGGGGTCATAATAAGGGGTCCTGGATTTGCAAGGGGGGTAATGGGGCCGATAGGCCTGACCTGCAGTGTTCGTGGCTGTGGGGCCAAGGGATGGGACATGTACTGTCCTTAAGAGGCAGACACACACTCTGTCTCCATTGGAGCCCAGCAGGGGATATGCGGCCTGTTGGTGGTTCCAGCACCATTATGTTGGCTTAATGGAATAGAGTGACACAGAATGGTAGGTCTGGTGCTTTCCACGCTGTGACCCACAGGCATCCCATCTGGGTGTACGAGGTGTGTGAGGACGGCGTCAGAGCCAGACCCCAGGGTGAGGGAGGCAAATGTGTGGAGCAGCAGAACCCTGTGTGGGTCAGCCGTGGTCATACTCTAATGCATAACAGGCTTCCCTTGATGGAAAATCTGAAGATCATTATGAAACCCTTTGCCAGTTTGAAGTGCCTTTTAAGTGCAAAATAGCAAAATTCTGAGCATCTGGCTTTTAGATATTGTGTCCTCCAGTAAACACCAGTACCCTGCACCCAGTGTCTGCACTTCCCTCTCCCAGGTTCACCAGCAAACATCTTACCCCAGGCTTCCTTCCCAGAGCCCATGTCATTCAGGGATGGCTGCTTTTTATTTTTAACCTTGGCATGTGTGATTCTAAGCCAGCTTAGCTGTGAACCTTAGAGATGGGAGCCGTGCCTTTTTTTTTTTTTTTTTAATAGCACATTTGGATTCTGCTGAAATTCTCAGCTGAGTCTTGGTAGGTTTTATTTAGCATTAAGCACACTGACAGGTCCACTTCTTTCCTCCACCCCACTTCCCAGGGTCTGAGTTACCCTCCCTCTCACCCTTTGCCTTTCTAGAACGATGAGCCCAGAGCTCTGGTGCAAACTGCCCCATCCCACCGCTTCCCCAGGAGGGCCAGGAGTGTAGAGCTCAGGAAAGAGCTGTGTGGTTTGCACTTCTCTTCGTTGCAGACCCACACCCTCAGAGTCCAGGGGTTTGGTTGTGGTTTGCCGTTTCTAGGTAAGGTAATGCTGCCTCATTTGGATGCTGTTTCCAGACTTTCCAGAACATTTCTCTGCATGTGCTTTATCCTTTATTATTGCTTAAGAAATATGCATTAATTGTAGAAGTGACAGGGATTCCTGGGATCCTTTAAAACCCATGTTCTCACTTTATCCCCAAATTCTGTGAGTTCGGACAGCAGGTGATAGGATGCTCCTCTTTCTGCCCACGGCCCGTGTCATTTCACAATGTAAAAACTGCAGCCCCCAAAACGGAGAGCATCTGAAATGGGGTCACAAAGCAAGTTGATGAGCCAGAAGTCACTGGCATGCAGTATCTACATGCTCGTGTATGTGTGGGTGTGGGTGTGCGTGTGCGCATATTTCCAGCCAAGCGCTCTGGCCCCTGCTCTGCACAGCTTGCCACCGTAGGGCCAGTGTCCCCCGGGTAGACATGGCCAAAGAGCACCCATGGCGGCAGACTGTGTTTCCCAGAGGCAGAGCTCAGCGTGGCAGAGTAGCAGGCCATGCGTTGCATTATAATCTGCCCATGGCCAAGCCCCCGGGGACAACTTCCTGGGTCCCGGGGCCCCAGTACAGAGAGACAATGGAAAAATCCAGCTTCACTCCCAACCCAAAGCAGAGCCTGCTTTCTGTGGAGGTAAGTCAAGAGGTGACACACGGTGCCTGAAGGCAGAGTGATACAGCCAGAGAGACCAGGAGGCAGAACCTGTGACCGCCTTGTGTCGACCCCAAGCCCCTCCTGGGAACCAGCCCAGTTTGGGCCACCCTAGGAGAGCCCAGCCCTCTGCTTTGGGATCCCTCCCCTTAGAGGTTTTTCTGAGTTCCATCCCAAATGTGCGTGTCTGGCCTGGTTCCCCTCTCCCGGTTTCCTCCCCAAGGTGGCAGCTGGGCCTGCAGGGTGGGCTCGGCTAGATGCTCGGACAGGTGGGCAAAGCGACAGCAGGCTGACGAGGGAACCAGGGAGGGCGTCCAGATGCTGTGGGATTGGCCGACCGTGGTCCTCCTGTGTCTCTGCTTCCTCCTGGAATGGGGCCGGTAGCGACCATGGCAGAAGGTGGTTTTGCAGAATGAATGAAACCCTGTGTGGGAAAGTGCGCTGGAACAGTCTGTGGGGTATAAAGACAGGGCAGCCACGTTACCACTCGTGCCGCTGTGGCTACTGCCGCATCCCTTCCAAGGCTTCTGGATTGGCGTCAGTCCTGTTAGTACTATTAAAGCTATTGGGTTCCACCCCTGTGGCTGTTACCAGATGGGGCTGAGGAATTAACTAATTGCTAGAAAAGTAGTTCCATGATAGACGAGGTAGCGTCCCGGTCTTAAGTTCTAGCTCCAGCTCTGCTTTAATTTGCTTTTTTATTTTTCGGTCTTCTTTCTCTCTCTGCTTTCCTCCCACTCTCCCTCCCCCCCTCCCTCGCTTCCTTCCTTTGGCGTCGATAAACAGTTGCTTCACACTTCTGGGTGTCCGTTTGCTCACCTTTAAAAATGGAACTGATCTCTGACCTGCTTTACAATCTTGTGAAACTTGAGTAAGACGGAACATGCGAAGAGGCTGCTCCCAGTCTGAGATCACATGTGGGATGCTCTCGTGGAGCAAGGGTTGGGTGTGAGGCAGAATTATTCAGGGCCTTCATCTTTCATCAGGAGATATACACGGTGCATTGTTTAGTAGTTTTTTGAGTCTCAGGGGGAGCTGAGTTCCATCCGAAGTGTTCTTGATTTTGCTAGTTTTCAGGGATGGCCAGGGGGTGAGGGCGGGGTGTGAGGAGGAGCCGAACCTTCTCTAAATTGAAATGCCACCATGAGCGAGTTAAGACACAATCATTGACTCTGTGCTTTGGTGAAGACACTTTGATAGATAAGCCTGTCCTGTAAACTTTAGACGTCACATCTCAGGTTGTTTATTTGTTCAGCATTGATGGTGGTGTTGGGGAGGGTGTAAGGCAGAGAAGACACAGCATGTGCCCCGGGCGCAACCGTCTTAAGACAGAGAATCAAAAGCCGAGAATACAGTCTATCACTGGTTCCAGCTCCTCTCAATCAAGAAATGAGGTTCTAATAGCAAAGCCAAACTTTAGAAAGAACTAAGACCAAAGGCAGAAGGCTCTACCGTCTTTAACCAGCTGAGCAACACCTGACACGGGCTGCTCGGTGCCTGTGAGGTGTTGCACAGATGCATGCGCGTGCCCACCCCACACGGGTGCCCTTGCATGCATGATTACAACGTCTGTGCAGACACAGGTCTTCGGAGGAGTTTTCCTGCCTCAGGCAAGGAGGATGTCATCCATGCTGATTAAAGGGAATCATTGAGTCCATAAATCCCCCGTCCTTCGTATGCTCGCTGTCAGCCTGGTGGCGCGCTGGGGATATAATAGTTAGCTCTTGCATGTGTCCAGTTGTCAGGCACCGAGGAACATGCAGGATGGGCAGGCAGGACCGTCAGGGCCCAGAGACGTGTCCTGAAGAGCTGGCTTCGCTCCCCGCTGGAGCCTCCAGGGACAGTGGGAGAGCTTGCCTTAGGACGAGCTCTTCCCATGGCCTCTGGTGTGTGGCTGTTTAGGGGGGAAAAGACCCCGACAACCTTGGTGCTTTTCAGGTGCCCCATATTGTTAAGGCTGTTTTGGATGTGTAAATATCAGCAAATATCATTTATCAAAGATTCCAGGAGCACACTTCCCCCCACATTTTAACATCTCTGAAATGAGGGTATCTGACAGTTGATGGGGTCTTAGACGCAGTGAGGTAATGCTTCCATGTTGGGTGGAA